AGGTATAGAGATTTCTCACACACTGCGCCCTACTCACGCCCAGGCTCCCCACTGTCAGCATCCAGCAGCTGAGAGTACGCTCGTAAGTGATGAACATCCTGTGTTCGCAGCGTCCACATCCTTGTGGCTCTAACAGCACTGCGCACCACCCCTGCAGTCAGTCAGGGAGGGACTCGGTGTTGAACCTGCTGGTGGCCCCATGAGTGAAGTGATGCAGGAATACTCTGCGTGGGCCCTGCCCGCGGGAAGCTAGCAGGCTTGGCAGGAGGCATCTTCCTCATGGAAGTGACCATACCGGGCAGCAAGTGCCAGTGGATAGCAGCTCAGCCTGATGGCAGGAGGTTCCAAGGACTAGAGTATATTCTTCAGTCCTTCCCCACTCATCAAGGATGGGGGCGTATCAAGCGGTGGTTCAGATGCCTCGTTGGAAAGACCTCGTGGGAGGTGACTCCTGTGGAGGAGGCAGTGATTCTTCTGTTCGGTGGGCTACTGAGTAGAGGCATGTCTCACTGGTGTCCTTTGCTGATGCCTTAGCCAACTTCAGTATTTGTAATTTTATCTGAGCCGTACGGCGCTGCCCATACGTGGGTCATGGTCTGAACTGCATGTGGGTTACGATCCCCACAGGCATCGGCATCCCTGGGGCAGCCCGCACATGCCATAATCCCAGGGCCGAGGTCTGAGACGGGGATAAACGGGTTTAAAACCTTGTGCTGAGCAGAGGGATTATCCCCGCTGCCGCTCGCTATTTTGAGGGCACCTGCCTCTGGGGCGGAGTCACTCCTGATGCTCCAGGGGCCACACGACCGAGCTGCTTAGTCCTGTGGCTGAAGAAAAGTGACTGGCGCAGAGAGCCTCTGGCCATGGGTGATGTGTGTGGTTTTTCTGGCTTCTCTTTGGTGGTCAGAGGCTGTTTTGCTCCTGGGCTGGTCCTGGAGTCTTGCGGAAGGGCTGATGGAGGAGGGGGTGGTGTTCTCTCGGTCTCTGGTCTCTGCCTGGGAGTCCAGGCTGCAGACAGCCATGGCCACTTGTCTGCGTTGTTTAGATCTGAGGTCATTTTGGGATCATTGGGTGGGTGGAAGTCTTTTTTTCCCTTACATCGGTGGTTTTCACCTGGGGATATGTTAAAAGAAACACTAAAGCCCAGACTGCCCTCCTCGGTCTCTTGAATCCAGCTCTCTGGGGACAAATCCAACACGGTATTTTTTTCAAAAAACAAAACAAAACAACTCCCCAGGAGTTTCTGAGGTCTTAAGAATCACTGATATAGCTTCTGGCCTCTCTGGTGGTTCCTACTTCCTGCTGGGAGGCCCACTGCCTGGGCAGGTGGCATTGTTGGGTGTGGGAAGTGAACTACCTCATTGTGCTGTTGGGCTGAGCCAGGCAGGTGGTCAGATGCCTCAGGGCGGGTAGGGCTAACCAGTGAGGAGGTGTGGAAAGTATTTTAGGATTGGTTTTTTTCCTTAACATATTGCATTATTTGTTTCAGAGGTACAGATCTGTGATTCAACAGTCTTGCACAATTCACAGTGCTCACCATAGCACATACCCTCCCCAATGCCTATCACCCAGCCACCCCATCCCTCCCACCCCACCCCTACTCCAGCAACCCTGTTTGTTTCCTGAGATTAAGAATTCTTCATATCAGTGAGGTCATATGATACATGTCTTTTTGGTTTTTTTCCTTATGAGAATAGCGAAGGTGCCTGGGCACGCGGTATTGAAGACCGAGCTGAAAGGTGGGGGAAGCTTTGTTCTTTGGAGGGGACATGTGTCTAGGGAGCAGTGCAGGGGACGCCTAGATAGCGCTTCCTCCTCGTCCGTCCTGGGGCACTTGGGGGCCCCCCAGCTCAGCCTGGCCTGATGGTTCTGATAGGGCTGTGGGTTATTTCCCTGAAGCGGGCAGTACTGATAAGTGAGCAGTGACCGCCCCCCCCCATTTACCGTTGAAACAGAAACACTCAACCGGCTGTTCCAGTGTGGCTCGCCTATTCCCGGACGGGCATGCTTCTGCCCCGCCCCAGGTGGGGCCTTGCACTTTGGGAGCACTGGATTAGTGGGGAAGGCCAGGAATCCCAGGGCACGTGTGCCTGTGTGTGTGTGTGTGTATGTGTGTGTGTATGTATGAGAGTGTGTGTGTGAGAGAGAGAGGGAATGGGGGGTGTGGTACGGGAGCAGGGGGGCCAGGAGTCAGAGGTCAGAGGTTGGTCAGTGCTGAAGTCAGAGGCCAGGGTCCTTTCCTGTGATTGAGATCGATAGTGGGGGGGGGGTCCTTAAGTCGGCCCCCTTTTCTGGTTCATTCCTGGGTGCTCATTCTCCCCAAAGCAGCTTAGGAGAGGAGCAGGCAGCCCAGGTGGTGGCTGGGGTGGATGGTTGGATTTACTGACTGTCTACTCTCTGCAGGTGGTGTATCTGTTTATTCCTGCTGATGGCTGAGCACCCGATACCCTGATGGCCTTACCCACACTCCTGCAGTGCAGGC